TTGACAACAGAATTAGCAAACACTGTGCAGTCATCTTTAGTTTTAGATTTGGGGAAAAAAATTAATCTGAATGCTACATTAAGGTTCATAAAGCTTAGCAAAAAGACCAGTCCCCAGGAGGAACTAAAAAAATACACTTTGGAAAACAGTCACCAATAATAATTGTATCAAAACAGGCTAATCAGTTATTTACTTTGTTATAAGACAGCTTCTTATGCAACTGTGACGTAAGTATTGTAGATAACCAGGCTGAGCCCGAGTTTGGGGTTGCATGTTCCCACAATAGACCTAAGCCCGCCCTCCATGAATTCCATTGACTCTAATCCAGCTGCCATTTGCTTTCACTATTAGTAGATCAGAGTCTTCTGCATAGGAACCATGAAATAAACTCGTCGTAGTTTTGAACTCTATTCCAGCTCCTGGTTTCTTGCGCTTGGCAAACAGGCCATCAACATAGAAACAAAAATTTTAAAAAAACACACTCACTTTTGCTAAAAGCTGAGGAAGTGCAATAGCAAAAAGCTCTGTGATCTTAGTTCTGTCATCCAACTGAGCTTTCTTCTCCTTTGCTGTAAGGACCTAGGTCAAAGAACAAGCAGCAGCAGGATCAAAGGACTGACATTACCAGGATCTGTTTGATGCAACCCCAAGATGCAATTCATTAGCAGGCAATGGGTTGTCCATGAGCTAAATCCAACTACACTTCAAGAAGGATCTATATTCTCAGAATTAAGACATTGTTCCCAACATCCTTCCAAACATGACACTCTATTATTCCAAAGAAACTGTTTCAGTCACCATTCAGAGAGAGTTGAGATTTTCACCAACATATGCTCAAGCGTGACTAAAGAAAGGGAATGCAGTAGATGGCTGAGCAGCTTTAGAATGACGGTATTGCAAATAAATTTTGTTGTACGGCTTTTTTTTAAACAGTCACCAGAATTATGCTGTGTAACATTTTTATCTAAAAATTAAAATTAAGTGCTATGACTGTATCAAGCAAACAAGCCTAGGATTTCAAGACCTTCAATGGTTCACTGTGACCCCAAAAATAGAAGATTACTGATGCTAAAAATAACATGTTTTCAATGTCTAGTGTAGGCATGCATCCTGATACCAAAGAGATGATGTTATATAGCTATTTTGAATTGCACACAGTGTTATTACAATGAACATGAAATGTTAAAAGGCTAGTGCATAATTTTCTTTTAAATTATAAGTTATTTTAATGTTTCTTTCAACAACTGTGATTCCACTGCTGATGTAATGCACCCTGGCTCAAAACCGAAATACAGTGGAGAATTATTAATAAACATTTTTCTCTGAAAAAACTCATTAAAATTAGCTGGACAATATATTAACATTATTATTCATAGCATAATTTATATATATATATATACCCGTTTTCCTGTGCCTCTTCCTACAGGAGGATGACATTCAGCTGCTTGTCTAATTGTACACAGCATTATTTCAATTAACGCACTTTCCTGTTTGTCTGTTAAAGCTGCAATTATTAAAAAGAAAATGTCATTTCTTTTAATCACGTGTTTAAGAATCACTTGAACATGCCATAAGATTTAATCACAAGAATTGTTAATGAAATGTTTTGTACCTCAAATTAAAACCTGCAAACTAGTATACCAAATTAGCTACTGTCAAGGCACCAGAACTAAAAAGAAAACAAATTGATCTAGAAGGAATACTTAAAATCTCATAAGGAAGTTTTTCCAAACCTCTTAATCAAAGTTGTCTTTGAATTTAAAGATTTAACAAAAAAAACCTGCTCTATGTTCATAGGTAATGAAACACACTGGCAATAATTAGAATTATTACTACTGTTTAATCATTTTAACTGCTCGTTTTTCCAAATAAATTAATTTTAGAGATGTATCATAGGTCATTTCTGTAAAAAATCTGAAAAATTAAATTAACCTGATCACAATTTCTAAACTTATTTATTCAAAATTTTATTTCATTTTTAGTCTGCATGAGTTGCCAGTCTTTGTTGGTTGAATTTCTTTTACTTTCTTGAAGTTAGGGACAACTTTCCTGGCAAATGCATTTTAAAACATGCTGTAAAAATAGAGTGAAGTCTTACGTTCTTCTCCATTTAGGGGTTCTTCCAACAGAAGGCTATTCATACATTCCCAGTCCTTCAAAAGGTCAGTTGCACAATCCCACATGCTGTCCACCAAGTAAGCAGCATGCTCATGTAACTGGAAAAGAGCATTTTGTGAAAAACTTCTCCAAAGCCTTAAACCATCAAGCGCTATTTAAAAAAAGCAAACACCTTCTGTAATTTAAGGGAGACAATTTTTTTACTTGTAGAAGAAAGGCACGAGCTCTGTGCTAAAAATGTTGTGTTATTTGCCTCGGGTCCATCATGTACTTCTCACTTCTTAATATTACTTTTAATCAACTAAAACTTGCTCGCTAAATTTACTAAATTTACAATTAGCTTTGCAATCCAAATTACCCTTTACTGGGTAGATCTAACTGTAGCAACCTTCTTGGAAAAATTCCAAGACAGACATTTACTATCTTTCCTCTCTCTCCCACATTCTTGCACCATTAAGATTTTCAATATTGAGCAGAGTTAGGGGGCCAATTTGGAGGTTTTTATAAACAAGCATACACAACATAAATAGAATCAGAACGACAAAGATTGCCCTGTCTTGCAACAGCATTTAAAAGGCTTCTAACTTTGGGACACTAATAAATTTACACAAAGTTCTCCTAACTACATTCAGCTACACAATAATTAAAGGAAGCTTTACTTAAAGATCTACATTAGTACAATCGTCATATGGATTAAGCAGTTTACAAAATATTGCAAAGTCATAGGCGATTCTTCCTAAGAAATGGAACTTAATTTGGCTCAACGGAAAGCCCAGACAAAACACTTCTGAAGAATACTTTGATAGAATAAGTAAGGTATGTGCACATACCTCACTTTCCAAAAAGAAAAATACTAATGTTTTGACAAGATTAGCATTTGGACCTTGCCTTCCTCTTCTTTTAAGAATTCCATCTTCCTCGGGGTCTCTGCGACTGAAAAGCCTTCCCAGAGGGAAAAAAAAAGGGGGGGGAGAGAAACATAATTGTACAGAGTTAGCTAAAAATAAAAAGTGTTCTTGACACGTAACAGACTTAGTCCTAGTTGCTCCAGAGGAAATCCCAATTCCCCATGTGGGGAACCACTAGCTTTATCCAAATGGCTCAGCGATTCAGCTCTGTCAAATTCACAACTGTAGTTCGTTTAATGGAAGGTCACTTTCTCCTTACTTTTTATAAAGGAATTCTCCTGCTGCGACAGCCACTGGACGATGAGCTGAGTAAACCAGATGGTAGACATTTTCACAGTCTTCTGCAGTCAGAACCTCTTCGCTACTCCTAAAAATGCAGTAATTATTAAAAATGCGAACAAAAAAAGGCATAGGTGGTCCTTGACTTACAACAGTTCACTTAGTGGCCGTCCAAAGTTACAACGGCACTAAAAAAAAACCTGGCTTATGACCGTTTCTCACACTTATGACCATCCCCAGGGTCACGTGATTAACATTTGGATGCTTGGCAACTGACTCATATTTATGACGGTTGCCGCGTCCTGGGGTCTTTTGATCGCCTTTTGTGACCTTCTGACAAGGGGGAAGCCAGATTCATTTAGCAACTGTGTTACTAACTTAACAACTGCAGTGATTCACTTAACCAATGTGGCGAGAAAGGTCCTAAAATGGGGCAAAACGTACTTAACAAATTTCTCAGTTAGCAACATAAATTTGGGGCTCAACCGTGGTCGTAAATTGAGGACTCTCTGCACTTAAAGTACTACTGGAATAAAATAGAGGTGGTTACTTTTAACGGTAGATTACCCGAATTCTAAATATTCAATTTAAAGCAAGGTTGTTTGTCTTGGGGCTATACTGAAGAGAAACTTGAAGATGGATCTCTGGGAATCTCACAACTTAGTGTCCGTGAACTTTTGGCAGCATAGACAACACAAAATCACGCATGCAATTTTATCTCACTGAAACATGACACCCTAAAAAGAATTTTCTGTCTACAAAGGGTTGAGAAACTGCATTTATACAAAGGGACAAATTAATACCACCAGTATCTATTATTTGAAATAGGATTTGAAACACTTACTGTAAAACAAGAGTAAGTAGTTTTATTGCTTGTACCGCAACATCGTATTCTTTGTCAAGAGTCATAGACACAATTCTGTCCTAATAGGAAGAATATTCAGTTTGTAACATTAAAACTGTTACAATGGAGAGCATGGGATATTTCTTTCAAAGGAAAAGAGAGAATGAACACTAACCTTGAACCGGCTGGTGAAGAGTTCCAATTTTGAATTCAGCTCTTTATTGTAGTAAAGCCCTTGCAAAGCTGTAAGACATTTGAGTCTCACTTCCCCTTGCTAAAAAAACAATAATAATCAGGAAATAAATAGCAGTTCTCAAGTTTTCATTTTTCAACACGGGACAATATGTTAATTAGTTTTTAGAGCTCCACGTTTTTATTGTGGTTTCTATTACTGGGGCCATTTGTTAAATACAGAATTACAAGGGGAAATTAATTTCTTATAAATGAAACAAACTGCATCAAGCTGAGAAAGTTTACAGTTCCAACAGCAACACTTTCAACTCAGCCTTGAAGCAGACTGAAAACCAAGGCACTAAAGATCTGTTGTTTGAAAAATGGTTTTATTAGGTCCTAACTGGGAGATAAATCCAACATTATGATTTTATCAGATACACCGTTGCTGCTGTCAGACCATTTGGATACTAAACTCTTGATATGTAAAATTGAGTTATTTCTTGCTTAAAAGTAATCATTACAATAACTGATTACTTTTAAGTGAGAAATAACTCAATTACAAGGTGGGCTAAGAAAAAGGGAATTGTCTATTTTTGTGCCTTATTTTCTCTAGGATCCAACACCCTACCTTGTCGTGCATTGTCCACCCCACATATTTTAAATAGCTGTCATTGAGAAAGGCATCACTATACATCTTCATCCAAATTCCAATTTCTTCAATACATATTGCTCTAATCTCAGCAATTGCATCCCTGGGGGAAAAAAGGATAATACGTAAAGAAAATGAAGAGTGTGGTGTAAAAAAAAACAACCCAGAATTTAGACTGAATACACACAGCAACTGGACTCACCTGTACCTATGAACAAATACACCCTTAAAAATCGCATTCATCATGTTTTCTATTTCATCCTGATTTTCTTGAAGCTGAAAAACACAGGAACTGCCAAATGAACGTGCTGCAGTTTTACAGTTACATATTTAGGCAATAAAACAATACAAAATTAATAATTATTTGAAAGGTTAGATCACAGGTACATGGCTGGCTCTGGAATTCTGGGAGCTGAAGTCTACCTTGTCCTTTTAAAAAGGCCATAGTTGCCCACCAGAAGAACCGATTCCTGGCTTCCATTTGACTTCCCAAGTATGCTAATTTACCTCTTTCTAAGGGTCAGGCAGAGAAAATAAAAGTTGGAAAGAAATGTTGTGCTTTAATTGAATCTCAGAGATTCACTCCTTCCTCTCACTTGGGGTTAAGTCTTTGGGGCAACAGATTTCTACATGTTTGCCTTAACAGCAAAGAGATGACTATGTGTATTTCACAGGCATCAAATGACAGCACAATTCTTTTTTCAATTGAAAAGTTCAGGAAGGTTTTTCATGAAATTTTACTTCAAACTTTTTTTTTTGGGGGGGGGGGGAGATACAAATATTCCCCATAGTTCCCTCTTTGTCATGTAACCATTAAAACTAGTGGGCAAAGGTTCTAACCTCCTTCCTTTTCTGCAGTAAGAGTTCCAGTCTATCGTTAGCTCGTTTTCCAATTATTTTATTTCGTTCCGTCTCGTACTGTCGTTGTGTATTGTCCATATTAATGCTCAAATTTAATGCCACGTTCACTAATGCGGTCATTAGCTTCATAGCTGTAAAGGGCCAAGAGAGAACAAAAATCAGTCATAATGTAGAATAACATAATCGACAAGCCTGAACAATGATATTGATACAAAAATGCCTTACTACACTAGACGCAAATGCAGGGGGGGGGGGGGGAATGGCAGGAGAGAGTATTAAATTATGCTGTCTTTGAGTTTCAAAAGGAAAAATGGCGTATAAATAAATTTTACTAAGGTTTTGAATGATTCATTTCAGGATTAGGAATCTATTTTATACAAAGGCAATATTCATTAACTGAATGGTTCAGCTACCTGTAGTGAAGAGATAGGTAAGAGACTAATCACAATGAAAACTGAGAAGGAACACAAAATTCATGCAACACTTTTCAAGTTTTATCACAGGGCAATAATTAAAATTCACATGCGCCATCTGATTTTGTTTATTTACATTATTTACATTTTTATCTATCTACCTACTGACTACTTAGGATCTTTTGAAAAAACACATGAAAGTGAATGTAATTACGTTGCTCACTTACAAAAGGGCTTACATAACTCTTTTCGTATAAGAAGGAACGTAACAACTGTTACAGGGCCAGTTATTCTAGTGTGATGTGCTGAACTTTGAAAAAGGGGCTGGAAAGCACCCCCAGGAAACCACCTCTCACTCATTTAATGGCTGTTTTATTATTTCTGCTCTTTGAAGATAGTTATCAAGCTGCTGCCTGAAAAACTGGATGGTTTATTTCTCCCGCTCCAAAATAGACTCATATCAGACTTCCAATGGCGGTCTGATGGTTCATATTTTTCTGGAAAAATGTTTCTTTCTAGAGCAGGAAGTAATTTCTAGTATTTTCACACAGAGGAAATCAGGGCACGCCTGAGGTTAACTGTCCATTCCGCAAGCCTATTATGAAGCAAATTTAAGTTGCTGAATTTGGGAAGCCTGACTTCGTATTTCCAGAGATTAAAAACTGTTGATGGAGGCTTCGCTTGGGCTAAAAGTCAACTATAACATCCTTGAACTACTAAAATAATTATTCTTCTGTCACTGTAGACTGATAGCTTTTTACCCATTGAAGGGATACTGGGGTGGGTCCTTGGTAAGTTTCACTAGGAAAAGCATTTTATTTTGTTAAATTTATATTTCAAAGAAATAGAGCAGCACCTTTCAAACACTTTGCACACCAAGAGCAGTTAGAGGAGGTGTCTTAAGCTCAGCCTGTTGGCCAGTTCCTTAATTTTTAACTTTAAAACTACCTGAGTTTATCCCTGCTTACAGGAAATGGAAGGAAAGGATATATGTAGAAACCTAGGCCAAAATAAATAAATAAATAAATAAAAATCATTTCCAAGTTTCTCTTAGACTCCTAGACCCCAAGGGGGAGGGCCTTCTCTGTGGGAGCTCCCACCCTCTGGAATGAGCTGCCCCCAGAGATCAGGGTGATCCCTGATCTCCCTTCCTTCCGCCGCGCCCTCAAGACATGGCTGTTCCAACAAGCGGGACTGGCCTAGGATAATTTTTAAGAGGGTTTTTTAGAGGGGTTTTTAATTACTTTTTAATTAGACAATTTAAATATTTCATTTTAATTAATTTTAACTTGTGATTGTTAGTGGTGTTTTTAATTGATTGTCAGCCGCCCTGAGTCCGCAAGGAGAAGGGCGGGATATAAATTCAAATAATAAATAAATAAATAAATAAATAAATAGACCTAAATCTTTTTAAATAAAAACATTTCAGAAAATTTAGAAGAAACTTAACAGTTGGGATTATCTTTCAACTTTTTTTTTTTTTTTTTTAAATCAAGCTGATGAATGTTTTACCTGCCAGTGTGCTAGTATGTCGAAATGCCCTGACTTGAGAGTCTGATAGTCCTGTAAGTAGTGAAATCACCGTATCCATCATGTACTCGTCATATATGATGCTATACTGACACTGCCGGACCAAGACTCCAATGAACTCACAAAAACTTGATTTAAATTTCTTCCACTGAGGACCAGCCATGGTGAGCGGATAATCCCCACTGTCCTAGAATACAGAATGTGTCAATTGCACAAAAAGTAATGCATTGTATCTTGCTAGTTACGAGATGAAAATGTCCTGATGAACCAAGAGAGATTTTATTCATCTTCCACACAGATCAGTGTCTCACAACAGACAAGATTTGTATTTTAATTGCAATTTGTTTTTCCCCAAATATTATTTTATTCTTTTGTTCGCAGACCAAAGAAAACCAGAAAATAATTTTTAAAAAGTTAACGTAAGAAAGGTAACTATATATAGGAAGTTAATGGTCGCATAGCGACCGCCCCCAGGGTAATATGGTCACATTTTGGGCGCTTGGCAAACTGCCTGCATTTGTGGCTGTTTGCAGTGTCCCTGGGTCACGTAACTGTGGTTTACAATGTTTTCTGCCGGAAACCAGCATTTACATAAAATGCCCACTGCTGACAAAGGATTTGCTTAATGACTACACTGTTTAACAACAACAGTGGTTCACTGAACAGCTGCCACAAAAAAAGCATAAAATTGGGTGAAATCACATGGTGACCCTTGTAGTGGCCAGAGTGACTTATAACCATAATTCTGGGCTCAAATATGGTCATCAGATGCGAACTACCTGTATTCAAAATTTTCCAATGATTTTTCATATACACCCTGTTAATAACTATTCTGAAAAGGGAAGTGCTAAATTGAAAAGATACTGAAGCGAGTTGAAACACTGATTTGTCACTGTCACCAATGAACTGAGATTTCTTCTGCCCTCCAGAGTTAATTCTTCACTCCCACAAATCCATTTTAAAAAAACGTTGCAGAAACAAACACGCAAGGACACATACATTTTCAACTGAAAGAACTGCAGTGAGCACTTCAGAAACGTCTTAGTAAAAGGGATTTTAGGAACATATATGGCGATCAGTTTTTGAAGATATAAATTTAAACGTGTCCATTTTACCTCGTCAAATTCTTCAGTCATTTTTCGAATTATTTCCGAATTTTGCATATGGCGAAACATTTCTGCTGTTACAACCCCTGCAAATTACAGAATGGGAATAGTATGAAATCTCAAACTTCAAAGTATAAAAAAAATGCTGCTTAGGCAATAATACTATCAAACAAAACGTGTCGTTTTTCTGAGTGAAATGTTTAAAATATATGGATGTACACAACCGTAATCTGATAAATCTACATGTGAAAATCTTTTTAAAGTGACATACTTTTTTTTTAACAGATATCATGCATCAGCAGGCTCACAGTCTTTGGAAAGCCAGAATACAATTATAAATGTGGGGGGGGAAAAAAACTCCCAACAGACCGCCTCCTGCCACAGATTACCCCCCACCGACCTGTACGCTCTCACAGAGTGGGTCTCCTCAGGGTACCGTCGGCCAGACAGTGCCGGCTGGCGACCCCAAGGGGGAGGGCCTTCTCTGTGGGAGCTCCCACCCTCTGGAANGTTCCAGCAAGCGGGACTGGCCTAGGGGATTTTATAGGGGTTTTAATTACTTTTAAATTTGACATTCTCAAATATTTCATTTTAATCAAATTTTAACTAGGTGTAATATGTTAGCTTTTTATCATTTGTCAGCCGCCCTGAGTCCGAAAGGAGAAGGGCGGGATATAAATACAATTAATAAATAAATAAATAATAAATAAATAAATATATTCAAGTAGTCAAAAAAGTGGGGAATGAGAGATTATAAATGAATTGCAAAAAGTACTATCTGTGATGGGAAGTCCTAATTGTAATGGGATATAGAAGGGATGTGAAGATTTTTATGAAATTAATATGGAATAAAACTCACCCCCAAATAGAAATCTTACCTTTGCAACCTGAGCACTGAATAAAGAAGTTGATGAGATCAAGGAGGGCTATATCTCTATCATGTTTGTAGGACTCTATCCAATCATCCACCACAGACTAAGATAACAAACCAACATTTAAGTTAGGGATGCTTATTGTTACTATCCATATTCAAACACCTACACAATCACCACCCCCAAACTCTTCTTTTATACCCCGAGGTTTCTACGGTTGTCCCACTTCTCCAATACATTGTTTTCAGAAACCAAAAGCGGCATATTAGTTTTTCCAAAGGAGGATGATAAACTTAAGCCAAAGTTAGTCAAAGCTTACATATCTAAATCCTCATGTCTCCCTAAGATTGATTTGTGACCTACTTTAATTTGTAACAGGGTTAAAAGTTAAAACTGAGAGTTTCAAAATCAGAAACTAAAATAAAATGCATGTATTGGATGAAATTTCAATCTGTCCTGCAACTGTTTACAGTAGTGTAATTACAAGGTGGATCTTCTTTTCAAATCAAATCAAACCAAAAAATAAATAAATAATTTTTTATTATGGTCATAGACCAGCAATATCCACTTTTCTTCTAGATGGAAGCTATATTTTAATTTTTTTTTAAAAAAAAAAAAAACCTAGACATTTTAAAATAAAGCTGGAGCCCAAGTCTCAAACAACGGTGTGACACCCAAGTAAATAGACATACAAGTGCTTATCATTAAAATCTATGGAAGAGTCAAAGGTCTACTCCTTCACAAAAGAATGATTGCAGCAGCAATCTGTAGAAACTCTGCTGAGTATTAAAACTCTGTTGAACAAGCAAACTTCAAATCATTGTTTCGATATTTGCTAAGAAATCTGGAATTGGAAGGACATTTTAAGCTGGAATTGACCTGAATCTGAAATGGATTCAAAACAACAAAGCCTTTAATAAGTAGAGTTACCTGCATAGCACTCTTGCCCATTTTAACCACTTCAAACAACATCATGTTTTCCACACCATTCTGCTGATGATGCCCATTCATTCGATTTAGACCCCCAGCTTTTCCTCCTCCATTTCCAACTTTTGCTTTCTCTCCTGCAGCCTTTTTCCCCTTTTTGCAGGTCTGTATGAATGACAAGCCCAGGTTATTTATTCCTTAGCAAATTAAAGGGTAAACAATAGAACGTGCATTTTTACTTGAATAAATGAATATGCTAAGGGAGTTTTGCTTGTTTATCTTTTTGTTAACTTTTCATTGTCACACTCGCAACGGGATGAGATCCCCAAACTTGCCCCAGTTCCTGCCCAGCTAGCAGTCTGAAAGCATGCAAAGTGCAAGCTGATTAATAGGTACGACTTTGATGGGAAGGGTGCTGAAGCAGGAGGCGTGAGCTTAAATGGACTCCAGAAGATGGTAAAGGACAGGAAGGCCTGGAGGAACGTTGTCCATGGGGTCGTGATGGATCGGACACGGCTTCGCAACTAACAACAACAACATGCTGGCCCTATGACCACAGAAATGGTCTTTGGATACCACTGGCTTCCTCAGCCAAGAAATGATGATGAGCACTGTGCCTTAGAGTCAGACACAACTGATAGGGAAACCTTTACTTTTTTTTACCTACGGTCAGGCAACCCACTCATTGAAATGAAAATTTTATAAACACAATAAACATAAGGGGAGAACATGGATCCATGTGTTGCCAGCTTTTTTAGTCAAGTTTTTGGAAACCCCGTGGAACGGTTTCCAATGTGTAAAAGGGTTTTATGACATTCACCCTTCTTGCACCAAATCCATTTGCGTAATGTCACGGAAGCACTGTAGTTTCAGATAACAAAATCAGTTAAATTTTATTTATAAAAGACTTCACTGTTACTCTTACAGCTCCATACACAGACTGAGAATGCGAGATGTACACACCTTTCCTTTTCCTGGTTTCTGATTTTTTCCTTCTATATCTTCAAAGTCAGTATCTGAAGAAAAATGTGTTTCAGATTCCCTGGAAAGACATATTTTACATATTTATTTCACTTAAAATGTTTTTATCGCTTTGATGCAATATAATATACTCCGGACACGCTACATTCACTTAAATGAGTTTTTCAATACTGCATGCCTAGGAAAGTATAGGAATTTTCTAAAAATATTCAGTCACGGCTCAAGTGAAATGAGGAAATTCAACTTAGCAAGTTGCCAAAATTCACTCGTAAATGAAGGAATTATAGGAGATAATTTAAACCACAAACTAAAGAAACTATGTTTTTCCCTACATCTACTCTTTACAAAAAAAAGCAAAATGAAAATATTTTGTGACTGTTATTTGATGTCAATAATTTCAAGTTACTTACTGAATTAGAGCAAAATTAGTTGTTGGTTCTTGAGCTGCTATCATTTCTTTATCATCTTCTGGGGTACTATTGTATTAGAAATACATTCAAAAAATAATTGTTGAGAATAGCCGTACTTGCTTGTCACTTTCTTCTATTATTGTAGCAGTAGTCTATACCTGTCAAAAACAAAGTAACAATTAATGGAAGTTGTCCAATTTCCTGTGATTTGTTGCTTTGTTAATAATGCAACAATGTTTCCCCCTAACTTTTTTTAAAAAACTTTCTCTGGGTTTAATGACTATCCCAACTGTCTGAGTTTTCTATCTAAAGAAATGCTCCAAATTTTTGAAATATGTCACGGGTACATTACTAGAAAAGTACTTCAATCATCACTTAATTATTTTAGTCATCCTTTTTGGAATCTTTTCTGAAGCTGCGTGGTAATTGTTGAAGGCTGGGTGACCCACAATTGTATATACAGAATTCCAGAGGCAGTCACTTTGCACATGTACATAAAAGCATCACAATACCGTTTCATTATATAAGTATTTCTGACCAAAATAACGCAAGTGGTTTTATTTCCTTTAAAAACAATCGTTTCTATCTTCATTTCCCCCCCCTCACTTCTCAGATAGCAAGCTGTCATCACCACCAGTAGCCTTCAGAGTGTTTAATTTGTGCAAAACTGAATCACATACACTTAAGGCTGCGATACTATCACGTGACCATGAGACACTGCAACCTCACAACTAGTGCTCATTCATCCTTGTTGTAAGTTTATATTTATATCCCGCCCTGAGTCCGCAAGGAGAAGGGCGGGATATAAATATAAGCAATAAATAAATAAATAAATAAGTTAATGGCCGTGGAATGCGTGGTCGTTAAATGAGGACCACCTGTACCAGGACACTTAATCATTTCCCCTTCACTGGTAATAGAGATGCTGTACTTTGAATACCTGGACTAAGCAGGTTACAGCTGTTGACCTAAACGGTCCCTTCCAATTGTATAATAATGTGAGGACACTATTGAGAAACATGTGTTTCTCAGGAGGAAACACAGCAAACCAAGTAGATTGCCAAGAAATGCATCAAAGATTATGTTCTGTCTGCAATGATTCAACGTGCAAAAGCTGTCCTGAATCAAATCTCAACATAATGTCAGACAGGTTTTAAAAGTTCCGATTTCCACGTAAAACATTTCCCCCCCTCCCCAGATAAAGATGACCTTCAAATTGCATAAACCTCTGAATGACCATTTATTAAACAAACTCTTAAAACTCCCATACACCTATCTTTAAATATACATGATCAACTTTAATCCCGATCAAGGGAAACTAAAACCTAGATTTTTCATTTTTTTTGGGCTAAAGTTTGAGAATTGCTCGGAGGTGAGACAAGCTGCATTTCAAACTGCCACTAAGGGATGCTCAAACATAATCGGCTTATTTTTAAAAAAAGAAAAGAAAAGAAAATGTATCATGCTGAAAGATCACTTGGTGGAGCTGTAATCCAAAACTCAGCGAGACAGGTCACCCAGAGGTTGATCAAGCCACTTCTTGACAGGAAATACCGCCAAGCCAACAGAGAACTACATTATAGTAGACGTGTGTTTGGCAATTGTCTAAATAACATTTCTCAAATACGCAACGCCTCAACTGAACCGACTGGAATTTTCAGTAACGTACCTATCTATTCCTGCCCAAAAGCCACTTTAAAAATAAACGTGGGGATGAGAGGATTATTTGCTTGGGACAGAGTTTGCATATAAAATAAAATAAAATTTAAAAAAATCAATAGTTTGCATTTGTATATTGGTGAAGCCAATTCATTTATCTAAATCTTCAATGTAGTTAATTTAAAAAAAAAAAATAACAGAATGGAAATACGGCATTAAGTTTGCAAGGCACTGCTCCGCTTTTCTCAATTTTGTGGAGGAGAGTTTCAAACGATCCCTCTCAAGATTGAAAACATTTAAACATTTGTATTTTAATAATACAAACAGTACATTTGCACGAATTGAACACTGAGACAACTGAAACTCTTGGTGTCAAGCAGTTGCCCTGTGAATAATTCGAGACCATCACTGGGAATATAGGGATGCTTGAGGTGGCTTCTTCACTGCATGTTGCTAAACTCCAAGGCCAGGGAGCATGGCCAGGGAGGGAATACAGAGAAATGTGTTTATTATGGCTTAATCACAACACAGTGGTCAGAATATTTTATGACTACAACTTATCACTTCTTTCAGCTGTATGTGTACACTACTGAAGAAAACTGGTTTTTTTTCACTAACTGCCTGTTTATGTACATTGCTCAGGACATCTCAGTTCACCTCAATCCCCAGGCTATGGACTGGCAAGCGGGCCACGGCTTGCCAGAAACAGGGCCACGCAAACAACCAAAGCCCCATCTATGGGCAGCATGCAAAACCACACCCACACCTGGACTGCTGAAAAATTTCTCTCCATGGAACTGGTCCCTGGTACCCAAAAGGTCGGGGAGAGGGGTGTTGCTGCACTAAGGATATCCCTATGCTCCAAGGTGGATAATTACCAGAAGGATTTCACGAATGTACACATATAGCTCTGCCATCTACTGACTAAATCGAAGCTCGTCACATAATATTCTCACAAACTGCTTTTCTTATCCAAACTATTCATGATTAACCTTAAGTAGCTCTCGCAGGCTAGGACTGAACCTTCCTTTCTGATGTTCCCTTGCGTGGAATTCCACTTACATTCCGCCTGAAACTTGTGGTCGTGTATAGCAAGGGCGCTGTTAAAAACAAGGATGTGTTGTGGGTTAGCTATGGATAACACTAATAATACTACACGATGATTAATGTTGTCGACAATCAAAGGGCCGGAAGTTGGAAGTTCACGTGGGAGTTATTTACACAAAGTAGCTGATTGGGATGCTCCATGCTTTACTCACAAGGCAGCTTACAGTAGTTCTGCCCTCTCTTCTACTACCGTGGGGAGGAGACACTTAACAAGATGCAATTTCCATTTTATCCAATTATCTACGAGATTCCTTAGCATGATCTCACCATGTTGAAGGGGAAAGAATCCTAAACAAGTCAGAACCCAAGCAGGGTTTTTTTTTATTATTTATTTTTTTTTTACAACTGATGTTTGTTGTCTCAGGATCCAAAGGTATTAGGATTTTGAAGAAGCAGGCTATAATTTAACAAAGCTAAGTTAAGGCAAGTTTTTGAAACTCTACCATTTTATTGTGAACGGCATCTAGTTTCAGACCGTAATCATACAATTGTGAACAAAAGTTAACTGAAAAGTATTTGGGGATTGTAATTGTCATGTCTTGCTTCACATTTTATATTAACTGAAGAGTGCGAAGGACAGATTATATGTAAGTAAAATAATTTTATTTCATAATCAGGTTTTGGAAAAATTGGGAAAATTATACGTTGCTTTATACAGGCAACACACAGTCCAGATTTCACAATAATATCTTAAACAATTGCTGAGATACACAGATTACATAGTGCAAATGAATAGCCTTTCTTTGAATCTACAAAATACACTTTTTGTAAGCACATTCCCCAGCAACATAACATAACTGATGTGCCTTTCTTCTGTGATTGTGCAGATTCTCCCACTTTGATACTCTAAAAACACAACCCCTATTTCTAGAAAGTATTCTTCCCAGGCTGGAAAAGGTTACCATAATGCCACCATTACTAAGAAAGATGTCCTTTGGAATGTGTGCTTGTGAGCAAATGAGAAGGCCAAAGGAAAGCAAATGGGTTTGAGAAAATGATTCTCTTTGATTAGAGAAGTTTCCTCTTAGATGTTTTATAGGTCTGTTATCTCACCAAAGAGGAACGAAAAATATGCAGGTTAATAAATGTCAAGTGATTTTATAGCAAATTAATTGCAACTAGTTTTGTTGCTGATTCCTGGAAGAAAACCAGTCATAACTTGAATCCACTCTTGAGTGTGACAAAACAGCCCAAATATTCCAAAAGGCTGTCAACACTGTTTTGTTTAGATAGTCTTCTCAGTTATAATCTGTGAAGTTTGTTTTTTATAGTGATACTAAGCAGCCGTTTAATTTTTTTATAGTTTTTTGATGCTTTGAATTATGATTTGTGGTGACTGTTATGTGTGTATATACATACATACACATACGTACATACATATATATATGTGTGTGTGTGTGCGCGTGTGTGTATATATGTATATATGTATATATATTATACACACATGTGGTATATAAAATTAATTCTCATACATAGGTGGTATGTAAATAAATGTAATAAATAATAAATACTTGTCTGGAGAAAAGGAATGCCAACATCTGAGCAGACTGTGTTTTTACTACCAAATAAAGTGATCAAATGTTTTATAGATTTAAATCCTATCCTTACTTATTTTTGTCTAAGATTGCACTGCAATTTAAATTAATATTCTTTAGGTTTATAGAATAGACTAGAATAACAGAGTTGGAAGGGACCTTGGAGGTCTTCTAGTCCAACCCACTGCTCAAGCAGGAAACCCTACAACATTTCAGATAAATGGTTGTCCAATCTCTTCTGAAAAACTTCCAGGGTTGGAGCATTCACAACTTCTGGAGGCAAGTTGTTCCACTGATCAATTGTTCTAATTGTCAGGAATGTGAAATTTATTATGTGGAATTTATTAACCATATGCACATCACCGAATACTAAAAAATTACACACTAAGATTAATGAGGGACATGATTTATCTGCTCAACAGATTTTCAATTTTCCAGGACAAAATTTAGGCTGACAAATCCATACTTCTCAAGTTGCTCATTGTGTGATTGTTTAAAAATGGTATTAACTTGATTACTTTCCATTTTTGAAAGATTTTCTTGAACAGTTGCTTGTTTTATTATAAAGATAACATTTCACATTTGGACTTGGATCCAGGACAGGCAAGTTCAAGATTTTTTTTAATTACACACTCATTAAATGTCTACCCCACTGTGGGTGGACGACTGGGGGATAATAATGTCTTGTTCTTATAACTGCACTAACACAAAAGTTTTGGAATGCCGTGAATTTTATATACTACCCCTATATTCCAGGAAGAAAAGGCAATATTTTAGTGCAAGTGACAAAATGAAATTTAGCACTATGTATATTTTAATTATTAACTTGAATCATACAAAGGTAATGATTAA